CTGTAGGAGACTGAGTTTTCCATGTACCCAGTTGGCTGCAGCAAAAAAAAAAAAAGGAAAAGAAGAGACATGCATTGGTTACAGGAGCAGGCATGACGTCCGCATCTCGGATGGTTCCTGGAAACATTGCCCCTGTAGCGACAGGCAAATGGAGCTGGCGCAGGAGCTCGGCACCTCTGGCGACCAAAGGAAGCCTCCCTGTCTCGGCTGGCCATATCCAGCTGCAAGGGGGTTCACTGTAAAACTCCACCCACACGTTTGGAGGTGCAGAGTTAGGAACAGAGGGGGAACAGCTGGAGGGCAAGGACTGAGGGACTGCTGCTCTTGGTATCCATGGGGCCAGCACAGGGCGTGGCCGGAAGCCCACCATCCCTCACCAGCAACGAGCCACCACCTTCTCCTGCCCAGAAAGCACCCATCTCCCTTCCTCCTCTCCCCAAGGATATGTATCCTCCACTCGGCCTCCAGAGCCACATTCCAAGACGGCAAACTCCATATCCCCACCCCGCTGCTCAACATTCTTCAGTGGCTCCCAATGGCCCAGCCACAAAATCCACACTCCCATCCACAATCGACAGACCCAGTGGGGTCTGCTCTCCCTGTGCCCCCAGCCCCGCCCCTAGGCGGCATCTCTATTCTGTGTCATTATCTGTTGGATGTCTGCCTCCTGGCCAGGCTGCGAGCTCCATGAAATCGGGGCCTAGGTCTGTCTTGGTTCCCACTCTTTCCCCAGTGCCTGGCCCATGGCAAGGGCTCAATAGCACGTGTTGAAAAGAATGAGAAAGGCTATTATTATCGGTCATCGTTGGGAGTAGGGGAAGGGCAAGAGAAATCCACAGTCACCCACCACTCTCTGAGTGAGTCTTGCTGTCCTGAGAAGGCACCAGGTGACCGAGGGATATAATGGCCACCAGGAGCCAGAGCAGGTGTCCTTGTCACTTTGGCTCCAGGAAGTCAGACTTCAGGAGAATCAGGTGAGTGCAGCACAGCTGAGAAGAATAACAGCGAACACCTCCCTAGCTCTTGCACGCACCCTGGGCACGTTGCAATCATTTAATCCTCACACAGGTCTTGTGGAACAGGTATCAAGGTCATCCCATCATACAGACAAGGAAGCTGAGGCTCAGGAGGTCACGTGATTTGCCCAAGGTCATCCAGGTAGGAGTGGCATGGAAAGGACTGAACTCGGCCATCTGACTCCGGAATCAAGAGACCTGACCTCTATCCTGTGTTCCAAGAAACAGGCCAAGGCAATTCAAAGTCTAAGGCCAACAGGTTAATTCTACCATAAAGATGGGGGACCTCCGTTAGGTTTGTTAATTTCAGTATCTGTCTGCCAAAGGAGAGTCACGGTGATGGGGGTGGAGGTAGAGAGGGTTGATGGCTGAAGCTGCCTCAATTTCCCTGATGTGATCAATTGCTAGGCTCAAAAAGTACAAGGGATTGATCAATTCATTTTTCATTCATTCCTTCATTCATCCGATAGACATTTACTGAGCTTCTATTATGTTCCAGGCGCCATGCTAGGTGCTGGAGATTTAGCAGTAAGTAAGACAGGAGCCCAGTGGGCAAACGGGCAACAAACAAAATATCTAAATAAATAAACTATTGGAGAGTGGCAAGTGCTGCACAAAGAATCACAATGGGGCGTGATGACAGGTGGCTGACAGCAGGAGTAAAGAGTGTCCCAGAGCCCAGGGCCAGTGCAAAGGCTCTGAGGTGGGAACAGCTGGGAGTGTTCGAGGAGGAGCAGAAGGTGAAATGGACAGAGGGCTGGGCAAGCGATGCCTTGGAGAGAAGGGCAGGCCACTCCTGGGGAGGTTGGTAGGTCCACCTAGGGGCTCGGGGATTCCTCCCGGGGGTTGCAGGAGCTTTAGCCAAGGTTCATAGGGATTGCTGCTCAGAAAACAGACTGGAAAGGAGACAGTGGTGATGGGGACAGTCTGCAGGCTGCTGCAAAGGTCGAGATGAGCGACAAGGCTGCTTGGACCCCGTAACCTAGGGGAGGAGGCAGCCGCATTCATCCCGTCCTTTCCACCACTGCATCGCTCACCCCTCAGAGGACCCCCTGGCCACCAAACCCGGCGGCTGCCATGTGCCACCCAAGAGGGTTCTCTTTATACCACCATGCCTCAAAGTCACACTCCTGGGTCTGCCCTTCACCGTTCTGGCCTATTCCAGCAGCCCGTGCACTGTTCTGTTCTCACTATTCTGCAGTAAATGACTCAGCCCTAACAGCATGTCTTGTCCTGAGCACTGCCGGAGAAGCCAGGGCTTGGCGGTTGGTTCTACGCTTATTTTCCTCATTCACGTTCAAATACTTATTGTGTTGCTCACTGACTGTCTATGTCCCCTGCTACTATTTAGGTACCATGGGAGCAGGAGGGTTCACCTGTTCTGTTTCATGTGCCTAAATGACATCTGACATTTAAGAGGTGATTACTAATTTCCTAACAAATGAATGAACACCTTACGAAAAAAAAAGGCAATGTTCATCCGTGTTTTAACTATAAGCATCACCCACAACACACTGGAGAGAGGCTTTGTGAGTCTACCTTTCACTTACGCTGCCTTAGTTGTCTTAATGTGGCTTTGATCTGAAGTTGCAACCAAGGCTTTTTTGGGAAACGTTGTGTATAAATAAATACATACTGTTTTGTGTTTTTTGTTTTGTTTTAGACGGAGTCTTGCTCTGTTGCCCAGTTGCAGTGGCACGGTCTCAGCTCACTGCAACCTCTGCCTCCTGGGCAGAGCAATTCTCTGACTCGGCCTCCCAAAAAGCTGAGATTACAGGTGCCCGCCACCACACCTGGCTAATTTTTTTGTATTTTTAGTAGAGATGGGGTTTCACCATCTTAGCCAGGCTGGTCTTGAACTCCTGACCTTGTGATCCACCTGCCTCAGCCTCCCAAAGTGCTGAGATTACAGGCATAAACCACGGCACCCGGTCCTTTTCTTTTCTTTTTTTTTTTTTTTTGAGATGGAGTTTCACTCTTGTCACCCAGGCTGGAGTGCAATGGTGCGTTCTTGGCTCACTGCAACCTCCACCACTTGGGTTCAAGCGATTCTTCTGCCTCAGCCTCCCGAGTAGCTGGGATTACAGGCGCCCACCACCACGCCCAGCTAATTTTTCAGTATTTTTAGTAGAGATGGGGTTTCACCATGTTGGCCAGGCTGGTCTCGAACTCCTGACCTCAGGTGATCCTCCTGCCTCGGCCTCCCAAAGTGCTGGGATTACAGGCATAAGCCACCACACCCAGCCCATTCTATTTTTAAAAAGCAGACAAGCTGCTTGCCTCCTGTCTGAAGCAGGATTTGGCCAAAAGCAGACTTTTTAGGACCAAGGAGACCTGCGTTTGGGCCATTTACTGTGTGTCCTTAGGCAAGTTACTCCCCCTCTCTGAGCTCACCTTCTCTACTGGTTAAGATGAGAATTTATTTAATAGGCAGAATTCCTGGTAGCACTAAAGGAGATCCAGTTTATCAAGGACTCAGCACAGTACCTGGAACAAACTAAAGAATGCAATCAAATGAACTACTTTGAGAAAGAGGAATCTTTGCCTCTGGGGTCTTCCTTCCCAAACCCATAACCCAAGTCTAACCATCAGAAAAATATCAGACAAACCCTAACTGAGGGACCTTCCTCAAAACTCCTGACCAGTGCTCATTAAACACGAGGAAAGCCTGAGCAACTATCCCAGCCAAGGGAAGTTTCGGGAGACGTGACTACAGGTACTGTGGGGATCCTGGATGGGATCCTGGGACAGAAAAAGGACATCACGGAAAACCTAAGGAAATCTAATAAAATATGGACTTTGACAATCATGTATCAATACTGGTTCAAGAGAGTTGTGAGAAACGCAGCACACAGACTAAGATGCTAGCAGCTGGAGAAGCAGACTGCAGATGTGTGAGAACTCGGAATATCCTCGTCGCTTTCCTATACATCTCAAACTGTCCTAAAAGAGTATGTTTATTTAAAAACAAAAACAAAACTGCTGCTGCTGCTATAGTGCTATCACTGAGCAGGAACGCAGGAGGCCTGCAGGGCACACGGGCTGGATTGGGATGGAAAGCCTCTGAACACTGCTGCTCCTTGGGCTCAGATTTGAGCTAACACTGCCCCGGCACCTCTGCCGTGCTGGGTACTTTCCTATTGCTGGGATGACTTTACAGATAACTGATAATTCCCTGGTAAGCTGAACATGATGACCAGAGCTCCAGGGGAGGAGATTCCCGTCTGGGGTAGGAGGCTGAATTGGATAAGAGAAAACATTAAAATTCTCCTCCATTGAGGGATGGTAGGGAATCCTGCTCTAAGATGTACAGCTAAGAGAACAATAAGCAGATGAAAATTCTTTTTCCTAAACGTTAAGAGCAGTGTAAGGCATACTGTATGATTCCATTTATATGACATCCTGAAATAAAACTACAGGGGCTGAAATCACACCCGTGGCTGCCAGCCGCTGGGGCGGGCGAGGGGCAGGGGGACTCTTGGGGGGGACTCTGTATTGACTGTGGGGGCGATGTTACTTGGCTGTATACGTTTGTCAGAACTCACAGATCTGCATGCTAAAAGCATGACTCTTACTGTATGTAAATTACAACGCAAACCTGACTAAAAAAGGCAATGTGTGAATACTGAAGGTAATTTGGAAGGTGATGAATAAAATCTTTCCCATAAAAATCCAATCAAGACCACTCATTAGCACTCTGGTGTATGACTTTCCTGATTATTTTAATACATAATTTTTTATAAAGCCCAAATCATACGGTACACAGAATTTTGTAACGTCTTTTTTTTTCACATCATCGCACATATATTTCCCTGCTCTGAATGGCAAGCTCTAGAACTCTCACTGCAGCAGCTATAAAATATTCTGCCACCATCAGTTTCATCCCTGCTCTCACCCCCTCCCTCAGGGACAGTGCCACTGTCTCATTTTATGCTGCCGTGCGCAACTCCGCAGTGAACATCCTTGTGAAACATGTTTTTCTACCCTATATTTAGGATTATTTCCTTAGGCCAGATTCCCAGAAATGGAATTACTGGGACAAAGGGCAAGAGCATGTTTTACATTGTTGCCAAATTGCTCTCATTAAATGGATATTAAAGGGAACCGGGGAGCCCTGGCCAAGGCTGAGGGGCTTTTGTCCTGGGCCACTAGCTTGACAGGGCCATGTGAGAAGCAACGAGCGAACCCAGGTAGGTTCAGCGGGCCCGCTGGCTAATTGAATGCCTGCAAGGTGACAGCGCCCAGAGGGTACTGGAGATGCGGCAGCCCACAAGCTGGGGTTCGGGCCCCTGGGGACGCTGCCTTCCGTGGAAGCTGGAGAATGGGTCAGTGAACTCTGCCTTTGTCTTTTTGCTCTTAGGGACAGATATGGGGCTAGTTTTGAGGGGTCCTGAATTTGCCAGACCAGGAAGAGATACTTCGCCTCCGCCTGTTTCCAGGTAAGCCCCCTGTCCGGTGGCACGCAATGCTGGATCTGGGCTGGAAAAAGAAGGGCCTAGAGGGACCTCTGAGGGTCCCACGTGAACCCCCAGAGATCTTCAGAACTGGCATTCCAAACCAGATACCGCCTCAGACCTGCTCCCAGAGTAGGTGGGGAATGGGGTCAGCTGACCCCCCAAGAAAGAGCCCCCGTCAGGCCCGCCCCTGATGCTGGCAGAAGGCCCCTAGCTTTCGCCTTCTCTTGCCTTTCTGGGGAGCCAGCTCCCTCCTGCCCAAACCTGCCTGCTGGTTTCCATGGGGATTCCTCTCAAAGAGAATATGACTCATGACGTCCAGGCTGACTCAAAACATGTCCCAGGGAGGGGAGGGGAGGAGCTCCCGGACCCCAAAAGAAGAAGCCAGTCTGGAAAATCCTCCCATGAGCTTGTTCCCGAGGCCAGAGAAACCCTGCCCAGTCGGGGATGGGGCTGAAAACGGCAGGCTGTGTGTCACGGGGCATGTGTGGCCCTAACATCTGGCTGGAAGTGCTGGACTGGAGACAAGTCCCCTCTCTTCCTACATGGAAGTGGCTTCAGTCATCACACAGGGGACACCTATGCTGCACAGTCGGGTTCCACGTGGCACCACCCCACCGTAAGGAAGGATCTGCTGGCCCCGCACACACACCCTGGGGCGCCAAAGGAGAAACAAGAAGTTGGATGGCAGCCCTGCTTAGACAGTCAACAGCAACAACAACAACAACAACAGTACCAGTGATGAGGCTGCCATCACAGTGGCAAACACAGTGGTGCCAAAAGTGCCTTGTGCTGGCAGAACGGGCTTCAGCCCCCACCTCCACTGGCTGCATTTCTAAAATTCAAAATAAAATTCACACAACGTAAAACTAACCATTAATCACTTAAGATGTACAATTCAGTGGCATTGAGTCCATTCCTGATGCTGTGTCACCATCATCTCTATCTAGTTCTGAGATGTTTTTACTCCCAAAGAAAGCCCCATACCATTAAGTTGTCACTCCCTGCTACCCCATCCCCAGGCGCCAGGCAGTCACTAGCCTGCTATCTATCTGTGGGACTTGCCTGTTCTGGACATGTCACATAAATGACATCACATACTTTGTGGCTCTTTGTGTCTGGCTCCTTTCACTTACTGTTTTTGAGGTTTATCTGTGCTATGGCATGAATCGGAATCGCATTCCTTTTTATGGCTGACTGACATTCCATTGTATGGGCAGGTCACATGTTTAGCCATTTGTCTGTTGATGGACACATGGATTGTCTCTAACTTTTGACTACAGTGAAGAGTCAGCTGTATATATCTTTTCTTTTCTTTTTTCTTTTTTTTTTTTTTGAGACGAAGTCTCGCTCTGTTGCCAGACTGCAATGCAGTGGTGCAATCTCGGCTCACTGCAACCTCCGCCTCCTGTCAAGTGATTCTCCTGCCTCAGCCTCCTAAGTAGCTGGGATTACAGTCACCCACCACCACTCTGGCTAATTTTTGTAATTTTAGTAGAGATAGGGTTTTACCATGTTGGTCAGGATGGTCTTGAACTCCTGACCTCATGATCCACCCACCTCTGCCACCCAAAGTGCTGGGATTATAGGCGTAAGCCACCACGCCCGGCATATATCTTTTTTTAATGACAGAAGGAAGGACACCTGCTATGCAGATGCTAGCCTCACTACAATACGGACATGCACACGTGCCCCTGGTTAACATTCATCAAGCAGTTACCATGTGGCCAGCACATGCTAACAGCTTTATATATATTCCCTCATTTAACCTGACAACAATGCTAAGGCGGGGAGGCTGTTTTTATTCCTGTTATCCACATGCTACAGAGGAAGAAACTGAGGCACGGAGTGGGGGAAGTCTCACACAGGCCTCCTGCTCTTGTAAGACAGGCCCAGGATTCAATTTCATAACCCCCCAAGACAGCAACTTTTATCCCTCTGTTATGCCAAATTCCTCTGGCCAGAGGCAAACTCCAATTTGTGTACCTCTGTGCTCACACATCTCAAGTACATATTATGCAGAAAGGAGCTGGGACCAGAGCTGAAGCTATGGCTGGAACCAGCATGGCAGGGGTCTCAGGACCGGCCTTCTGTTACTGTCCCGCGCAGCAGGTCCCCAGACACCTGTAGTTCAACTTGGCATCACTCTCATGACACACCAGGAATGAACACTCCGAGCAGGTGCACAACTTGACCAACCACACACAGTTGTGTGTGAGAGCTGGGAGGAAAACTAACATGTTTGGACTTCGTGCCCTGGCCTTTGTCTACAGGCAACTAGTAAATTAAAGACCAGACTGAGGTGGGCGGATCACAAGGTCAGATCGAGACCATCCTGGTTAACATGGTGAAAACCCATCTCTACTAAAAACACAAAAAATTAGCCGGGCGTGGTGGTGGGCGCCTGTAGTCCCAGCTACTAGGCAGGCTGAGGCAGGAGAATGGCGTGAACCGGGAGGCGGAGCTTGCAGTGAGCAGAGATAATGCCACTGCACTCCAGCCTCGGGGACAGAGCGAGACTCCATCTCAAAAAAAAAAAAAAAAAAGACCCGAGGGGTTACTAGAGTATGAGACCATCACACCAGCAGAATGGCTCAAATGGAAAAAATGAACAACGATAAGTGTTGGCATAGATACAGTGCAAACAGAATCCTAAATTGCTGGAGGGAGTTAGATTGTGAATCCACCTTGTGACAGCTCTGCTGAAGCTGAACATGAGTCCCCTAGAACCCAGCAATCCTCCTCCTCCACAGAAATGCCCACATTAGTGCTCCCAAAGATGTTTGCACAAGTGTTCCCTGAGCATTAGGTAGCCCAAAATGGAAACTACCCAAATGACCACCAAGAGAAGAATGAATAAAGAAATCCTGGTATATCTATTCAGGAGAAGCCTACATGATGAGAATGAATGATCTACAACCATGCACAGCACACAGACCTACACTAATTGAGCATGAAGCAAAAGCAGCTGGACAGAAGTACGTCATCAACGTACATCACCATGTGCTTCCATTCATACAAACTTCAGAAAGAGGTGCATCTGAGTCTGTGCCGTGAGAAGTCAGGGTACTGGCTATTGGGCGATCAACCGTCTGGTTTGCCTAGGACTAAAGGGTTTCTTGGAATGCTGAATGGTCATTACTCTATCAGGGGAAAATCCTGGGAAAACCAGGACATGTTGTTGATCCTACTGGTTACCCCATGGAGGGATGGTGCTGGAAGAAGGCAAGTGGGAGCTTCTGGGGAGGGCTAGCAGCATTCTAGGTCTGGATTTTGGCTGTTGGTGACACAGTGTGTTCACTTTGTTAAAGTTCATCAAGCAGTATACAATGTGTGTACTCTTCTGTGTGTATGCTGTGTCCCAATAGAAAAAAAAAAAAATTTTTTTTTTTTTTTTCTGAGACAGGGCCTTGCTCTGTTGCCCAGGCTGGAGTGCAATAGCACGATCCTGGCTCACTGCACTCTCTGCCTCCTTGGGTTCAAGTAATTCTCCTCCCTCAGCCCCCCGAGTAGCTGGGACTACAGGCGTGCTCCACCATGCCCAGCTAATTTCTGTACTTTTAGTAGAGATGGGGTTTCATCATGTTGGCCAGGCTGGTCTTGAACTCCTGACCTCAAGTCATCTGCCCACCTTGGCTTCCCAAAGTGCTGGGATTACAGGCGTGAGCCACCGTGCCTGGCTGAAAGATTAAAATAAATAAATAAATAAATAAGATATTCTAGAGCTGAATCCAAACTCCGCAACTTGGCCTTAGGCAAGTCACTTGGTACGTCTGAGCCTCCACTTTCTCCCTGGTAAAAGTGAGATCAGACTCATACCCACTAGGATGGATAGAGAAAAACCAAATAAATAAAAGAACACAGACAAAAAAAAAAAGTGTTGAAGAAGAGGTGGAGAAAGTGAAACCTGCTTACACTACTAGTGTGAATGTAAAATGGTGCAGGCAGCTTTCTGTGAAATAGTTTGGTAGTTCTTCAAAAAGTTAAGTATAACCTGGTAATTCCACTCCTAGATATACATCTAAGAGTTGTGAAAACACAGGTTCACACAAAAACATGCATACAAGTGTTCAAAGCAGCATTACTCATAAGAACCAAAACATGGAAACAGTATCCATCAACAGATGATGGATAAACAAATGTAGTCTATCCATCCAATGGAGTATTATGCAGCCATAAAAAAGACTGAGAGTCTAATTCACACTACTACACGGATGAACCTTGAAAGCAGTATGCAGGTTTGGGCATGGTGGCTCAAGCCTGTAATCTTGGCACTTTGGGAGGCCAAGGTGGGTGGATCACTTGAGGTCAGGAGTTTGAGACCAGCCTGGCCAACATGGTGAAACCGTGTCTCTGCTAAAAACACAAAAATTAGCCAGTTGTGGTGGCATGCACCTGTAGTCTCAGCTACTCAAGAGGCTGAGGTGGAAGAACTGCAGTGAGCTGAGACTGTGCCATTGCACTCCAGCCTGGGTGACAGAGCAAGACTCTGTCTCAAAAAAAAAAAAAAAGAAAAACAAACAAACAACAAAAAAAGGGAAGTATTATGCAAAGCGAAAGAAGCCAGACACAAAAGACCACACACTGTATGATCCCAATTATATAAGACGTCCAGAATAGGCAAATCCATAGAGACAGACAGTGGGTTCATGGTTTCCAGCGCAGGGATGGGGAAATGAGGCATGATGCTAATGGGTATGGGGTTTCAATTTGGGGAGTGAAAATGTTCTAGAATTAGTGACTGCTGTACAACCTGGTGAATACAGCAGTCCTCCCTAATCTGAGATTTCACTTTCAGATGTTTCAGTTACCAGTGGTCAACTATGGTCTGAAAATATTAAGGTGTCTTGAGAAAGAGAGAAAGGAAAGACCACATCATATTACCTTTATTGTAGTATATCGTTCTAACTGTTCTATTTTTTAAATTGCTGCTGTTAATCTCTTACGTTTTCTAATTCATAAATTAAACTTTATCATAGATACATATGTTTAGGAAAACACATAGTGTATATAGGATTTAGTACTATTCTAGGTCTCAGGCATCCACTGGGGGCCTTGGAACATATCCCCCAGTGGAAAAGCGGGGACTGCTATACAGTGAAATCAACCCAACTGTACACTTTGCATTAGATTACAACTAAGAAAAAGGTAATGCTGGCCATGCACGGTGGCTTACACCTGTAATCCCAGCACTTTGGGAGGCCGAGGTAGGTGGATGGCTAAGACCAGCCTGGGCAACGTGGTGAAACTCCATCTCTACAAAAAATACAAAACTTAGCTAGGCATGATGGTACATGCCTGTAGTCCCAGCTACTTGGGAGGCTGAGGTGGGAGGATCACTTGAACCTGGGAGTTGGAGGTTGCAGTGAGCTGATACTGCATCAATGTGCTCCAGCCCACGCAACAGAGCCAGACCTTGTCTCAAAAAAGGGAGAAGGAGGAGGAAGAGGAGGAGAAGTGGGGGAGGAAGAGAGGGAGAGGAGGAGGAGAAGGGGGAGGGGGAGGAGGAGAAGGGGGGAGAGGAAGGAGGAGAGAGGAGGGGGAGGGGGAGGAGGGGGACGAAGAGAAGGAGGGGGAAGGAGGAGGAAAGGTATGGTGGGGGAAGGTAAGGGTAGAGGGAAGAGGGAAGGGAAGGAATGCTGTACCTGCCTTAAGGGTGTTTGCAGAGAGCACCTGAATGGGCCAGGGTGTGTGGCGTGCTCAGTACAGGTGAGCATCTGATACAGGTAACTATGATTATGCTGCCCCCTCCCCCAGACTCCTCCAGAGGGTACTCTGAGAAAGAGTGAGAAAGCGGCCAGGAGGGGATTCAGGCAGGCACCAGGTGAGGTGAGGATCCATTTGTGCCAGGGGCCAATGAGCTCAATGCCCAGACGCGCCAGGTGGTCGGCGGGCACTCACTGCACGAAAGCAATTACTTTCAAGCCTCAACAAGAAAAAGGAGCTTTGCTGAAATGCTTGCCAAGCTCCTCCATCATCCACGGATTACCTCAAAAAGAGCGGAGAGGAGAGCTCCGGCCTGGAGTCGGCCTGGTGCATGGGGTGACCGACCAGCTCCGCATGACGGATGGCAAGCAGGTTGCACCAGCTCTCGATGGCCTGGGGTC